CTACAATTATTATATAATACAGTTTTCTTTTTTAGCCTGCAGTTCCATCTGTACAGGAATTCAGTATCAAAGTACCAAAGTTTGTATCACTTATATTTATATAGTGTTTCATAAAGTATGAACGTAATAGGTGAATTTAGCAGTAGCATTTGATGTAATTAGTGAATTTATAACGTAATAGGCAAACAGCAAAGAAAGATTCATACAAATATTTGTGTTGGTTTTGTTCTTAAATTATCAAATTTCTTGTATTTTAATAATACATAATTAGATGATATATTTAATAATTAGATGATATAATGGTATTTCAGTAATATGTGCTGTATTTTATGAAACATTCAATATATTTTCTTTTTACATTTATCAATACAATAATGTTCAACTAAAAATTGTTTTATCCAACTTTTAGAAATAGCAAGAAGAAACACAATGTCATGAGATTCAATGCAACATTAGATGTAGATTTCTCCAAATGGAAACAGGTAAAGATGGAGCGAGAGAACAATATGAAGGAATATAAGGGTATCGAAGAGGAAATACCCAAGTTTGGTGCTGGATCTGAATTTGGACGTGATGCCAGAGAAGAAGCTAGAAGGAAAAAATTTGGTATTACTAGTCGAAAATATAAGCCAGAAGATCAGCCATGGATTTTAAAAGCAGGAGGAAAAAGTGGGAAAAAATTCAAAGGTATAAGAGAAGGTGGAATTAGTGAAAATGCAGCATATTATGTTTTTACACATGCTACTGATGGTGCTATAGAAGCCTTCCCTTTACATGAATGGTAAGTGCTGTTGCTTGGTCCTCTGTCATTGTCAATTATAACTGCATTCCAATATTCATTGGCAGTACTAGCAGCACTACGAATGTTGTTTCAATATGTGTGAAAAAAGTTTCAAAATGCTTCCATGTTCACATAATATCGTAAATTTTGTTACTTTCTACTTTCATTTCTGTAGCTCACAAAATGAATAATTCACAATAGAAGCGAGGAACCATTGCAAGAGTTATTGTATATAGAATATAAAATTAAACATAGAGCATAAAATAACTGTGCAACTACAAAATAACACGTGCAATATTGATAATAACTGTAGTTTTTCCATATTTTGCTTGTTCTATATTGATTATTAATGATATCACCTACGACAAATTCAATGAACATTTAGTTGTATATATCATGCAGCAGTTAACACGTGATGTGCCAACTGCTGCAATACTGAAAACTTGGTTCCATTTTCTCTATTCACAGTAGATTGACAATATACTCCTGACAAACAGAATGCTTGTATCAGTGTTGACTGTAATGATATCACGCTTGCAGTACTGGCAATGAATATCGGAATGAAGCCTTCATATAGATGATCATTAGAGAGGTATCAAACTTGATTTCCGCACATAGGTATAACTTTCAGCCAATCCAGAGATATAAGGCACTCAGTGCCGAAGAGGCCGAGCAGGAGTTCAGTCGTAGGAACAAAGTGATGAATTATTTCTCACTGATGTTACGCAAGCGGTTAAGGAATGATGAGGATGGCGGAGACGACGAGGAATTAGTAGAAAGTGGTAAAGGCAAAAGACCGAGTAAGAAAGAAAAGGAACTGAAAATATCAGAAATGGACGATTGGATGGATAGCGACGACGATGAGTCTGGCAGTGATGAAGAGGAAAATAAGAAGGGGTCTGATGATGAGGATGATGCAAAAAAAAAGAAGAAAGGCAAAGGTATTATAAGTGAAATGAACATTGTTCTCATACTTGTTATAGAAATTGAATATTTTAAAAAATTATATTATGTAACAAGTTCTGTGAGAATTTGATGAAACTTACACTATACAGGGTGTTTCCTCTAACTCGACCATTTAAAATATCTCCGTTGTTTTTGATGATACGGGAAAATATTACATGGAAAACTTGTTCGATTGGAAGGGACACATATTATGACGAGCGAAAAATTTTTCTCGAGATTATAGTTTTTGCGATTTTGAGGTCATCGCGATTTTTTTTAATGAAGTAGCCCATATATTATTACATATTCTTATAGCTTATCTCGAGAGCTTTCCAAAACACTATAATAAAATATTTTTTCGTTAAGAACTTTTCGAGTAATAACACTTGAAATTTCCAGCACTTTGACATAGAATACAAAATATCTCGTAAAATATTCTTCTTTCGGTTATCTTGTCTTAATGCTTTTTTGCACAGAATAATGAGACAAATTAATTGGCTTAAAAAAAGCACAAAAAGATTTTTATATATTTATGTAAAAAAATTTTTTTTTTTTTTTTTTAAGCTAATTAATTTGTCTCATTATTCTGCGCAAAAAAGCATTAAGACAAGATAACCGAAAGATGAATATTTTACGAGATATTTTGTATTCTATGTCAAAGTGCTGGAAATTTCAAGTGTTATTACTCGAAAAGTTCTTAACGAAAAAATATTTTATTATAGTGTTTTGAAAAGCTCTCGAGATAAGCTATAAGAATATGTAATAATATATGGACTATTCCATTTAAAATAATCGCGATGACCTCGAAATCGCAAAAACTATGACCTCGAGAAAAAATTTTCGCTCGTCATAATATGTGTCCCTTCCAATCGAACAAGTTTTCCCTGTACTATTTTCCCGTATCATCAAAAACAACGGAGATATTTTAAATGGTCGAGTTAGAGGAAACACCCTCTATACTACTGATATATGTTTAAATATTATCTAACTACTAATATTATCTAGTTATCTACTTGAAGAACTAAAAAAAAATAACTAAACATTCAAGCACTGAGATAAGGCGAATATCTCAATTACTGACAATGTTCCAATTAATGACGGTTTTATCTGTTTTTTTTTTTAACAAATCAGTACAGATCTATATTTATCCTAAAATATATTATATTTTTACTCTATATTTTATATATTATCAATTATAATTTCTGAATAACATTAAAAGTCATAATAAATTCTGGAACATCATAATTTTACAAGCATACTATTGACAGCAACCGTTCAAATAGTTATTTGCTTACATCATAGAAGTTGATAGTTAATGGGTGCTTTCCTGTTGCGTACACTGTGTAACACAAAACCAGTTTACTGGTTGCATATTATCTTACAATATATTTTATATAATATAAGGTGTAGTAAAAAGAAATCCATTATTTTTCCAATAGATGGCTTTAGTAATATGTATCTCGCGTTGTATAAGTGCGATCGGTTTACGCTAGATGGCGTTAGAAAGATAAAATTTCGTACTAAAAAAACTTCTCAGACAGTTTTGTGATTGTTTGACTCAGTATTGTTTGAGCGCGCGTCAAAGATGGACATCAGCAAAGAGAAAATACGCCATATTTTACAGTTTTTCTTCGATAAAGGCGAAAACGCAAGCCAGGCGGCTGAAAATGTGAATAGTGTTTATGGTCCTGATACTGTAACAGCCAATCACGCGCAATTTTGGTTTCATCGATTCCGTTCCGGTAATTTTGAT